TACGCTCATCAGATCCGAGGAGCCGCCACCGACGCCGACGCCGCCGTCGCCGCCGCCGGACGACACGGGCGCGCACGGCGGGTCGGTCCAGATCTCGGCGAGGTCCGTCGAGCCTGCGCCCACCGTCATGGCGAGGTGGCGGAACCAGGCAAAGAAGCTGAAGACGGTGGGCGACGCCTCGTTCCAGCGGTGCAGGAAGGCGTACCAGCTCGGTGCGGCGCCGTCGAGCATCTCGGCCAGGCTGTGCACCGACCTGGCCGGGTCCTGGACGCGGGCGCGCAGGCCAGAGAGGTGGTCGATGAGCCTGCCCAGGAATCGCTCGAGGGCGATGATGGAGCCGCCCATGCCCTTGACGCGGTGCATGCGCCGCAGCTCCTCGAGCAGCGGCTCAAACACGGCGCCGAGCGCATCGGCAATCGCCGGGTCCTGGAGCATGCCGCGGACCTGGGCGCCGTCGCGCTGCAGCGAAAAGAGGCGCAGCGCGCGCTGCAGGTCGCGGATCAGGAGGTAGCCCGGCTCCTTGTGCGCGTTCTTCTTGACGACCGAGGGCTGCGTCCGCATAAAGCCCTGGTAGGCCTCGGTGGCGTCCATGACGCGCTGCACCTCGGCCTTGTTGAGCTTGGGCTGCTCCGAGCCGCGCACAATGGCGGCGACGAGCGGGATCTCGGCGCGCTCGGCGTGCTGGCGGATGAGGCGCTTGAGGTCGTCGGGGCTCTCGACAAACATGCGCAGCTTGCGGAACATGACGTCGGAGCCAATCGAGCGGCGCAGCTCGGCCAGGTCCTCGTCGATCGTCTCGGGCTCGTCCTCGAGCATGACGTGCAGCATGGCCTGGAGGAAGCCCTTGCGCAGCAGGTTGTCCTGCCACGACCGGATCATCTGCGACACGGGCGACTTCATGGCCAGCGACAGCCGCTTCCACGGGATCGACTCGTAGACGTCCTGCAGCCGCGCCAGGTTGGCGCGCGACTCGTCGCCCGCCACAAAGGTGCCGTAGAGGAAGCGCGCCACCTGCAGGTTGCCCCACGACGTCATCTGCTGGTAGGCGAGCGGCAGGCGCGCATACTCGGGCGTCTCGACCATGGTGTCGTAGACCTTGAGCAGGCCGTCGCCCTCGACGCACTCGGCCCACAGGTCGTTGCGCACCGCGCGCAGGTCGTGCACGTCGTCGCCGGCCTCGGCGGCGTCGCGCTCGTGCTCGCGGCGCCGGTGCTTGTCCTCGCGGATCCGGTCGTCCATGTCGAGCAGGTCGGCCCGGCGCAGCGCCTTTTCGGGGAATGCGGCGATCGAGGTGAAATCCTGCGTCTCGAGGGCATGGCCCGCCTCGCGGATAGCAAGCGTGTCCCTGAGCCAGCTGCGCAGCTTGTTGCGGCGCGCCTCAAAGTCCATCGGCGTCGGTCCCGCCGTCGACTTGCGCGGCGGGGCGGCGTCGTACGTGGGAGGCCCGTCGCGGAAGGCGACCGAGCCGCGACTGTCGTTGGCGCCGGGAAGGTTGCGGCTGATGCCTCGGCGTCGAGAGTCGAGCGTGTCGCCGGCGGGGGCGGCAGGGGCGCCGCCGCGATTCGAAAGCGATCCGAGGCCAAAGGGCAGCCGCGACTTCTTCGACTTGCTGGCACGAGGGGTGCCGCCGCCGCGACCAGACTCGGTGATGTCATCGTCGTCGTAGTCGTCGTCGGTCAGCGCGGCCTCCCTGCCGCCGCCACGGCGCTCGTACCGGCGGTTGGGCGGAGGAGCATCGGAACGGTCGTCGGCAACGTCTTCGTCGCCATAGACGGAGTCGCGACCGGCGCGCCCGGCGCGGAAATCGCGCGGAAGGGGGCGACGGCGGCTGCCCTGGCGCGCAAGGCCCTCGTCTTCGCTGTCGAAGACATCGTCGTCGTAGTCGTCGGCGCCTCCGCCGCGGCGGCCCAGGACGGGACGCCCATTCTGCACGCCGCTGCTGTACCTGCGGCCCCTGCTGCGCTGTCCGTCTTCGGCGGCGAGCGCGCGTCCGGCCTTGGACGGCTTGCGGCGGATGAGCGAGTTGCTGCGGCTGGCCCTGGCCCGGTCCGGCTGGACCGTGCCGACGCCGGCGTGGTTGAGCTTGGAGCTGCGCAGCGACGAGTAGGGGCTGTCGTCCTCGTAGTCGCTGTCCTCGTTGGGGCGCCCGCCAGTCTTGGGCAGCGGGCGGACAAAGGAGTGGTCGCCGAGCTCCTTGTCGAGGTTGCGCTGGAACTCGGCAAAGTCGGCATCGTTTCTCACGACGTACTCGTCGAGCCGGTTGGGCCTCCGGATGCGCAGGATGTAGTCGCGCTCTGTGGGGCTGTGGCGCCGGACGCCGACCACGTCGACCTCGTAGCCGCCGTACCTGAGGCGGTCCAGCGGCTTGCGGTAGGCGTAGTAGGCCTCGGGCGGCAGCAGGTTGGACGCGGGCCAGGGCCACGAGTCCTTGCTGAGCGGCTCCTCGTCGCCAAAGTACGGGTCGCCCGGCCCGACGCGCAGAACAGCGGTGACGTACTTGGAGGCCCATTTGATCAGGAGCCGGCGGATGGCGCCGGTGGTCGAGCAGGCACTAAAGGGGGTGCCGTCGCCCTCGCCGTGGCGGTCGACGGGCTGGCTGAGCGAGCGGCTCTGGATGGCGCGCAAGAGCGGCAGCACGCCCGTGACAAAGTAGGAGCGCGCGATGGTGGCCTTGTCCGGCGGAGTGGAGCCGTAGCTGCGCAACTTGTCCTCGGGCGCCACAAAGAGCGGGAAGGTGGCAAAGGCGTTCTTGAAGAGGAAGCGGAGAAGCGGCAGGTCGGGCGTCGACAGGGCGAGCTGCTCAGGCTGCTTGCGGAAGACGGCCTCCTCGTCCTCGTCGGTCTCCATGGCGAGCAGGTCCTCGTCGGACGAGTCGTCAAAGTCGTTGATGCGCGAGTCGTCCTCGTAGTCGGTCAGCTGCCGCCGCATCCGCATCCGCTCGCGCGTCGGCTTCTCGAAGCTCGTCAGCAGCCAGGCGCGGTCGAGCTCCCAGTGCAGCTCGCGCCGCGCCAGCTCGCGCAGGAAGTAGTGGGTCTGCTGGGGCGAGAGGCTCTTGACGAGCCAGTCGCCCTTGTTCATGTAGGACCGGATGCTGCGCGCCCGCATGCCGCTGTCCAGCGGATCCGCCACGCTCGGGGCGATGCTCGGCGTCAGGAGGAAGTTGCGCTTGCGCGCCGGGACGGCCGCGAGCCGGGTCGAAGACTGCTCGTCCTCGTCGACCACGATGGGCAGCTTCTCGACCGGGCGGCTGCCCTTGGCCCGCTTCGACGCCTTGCGCGACGGCTTGGCGGCAGCAACGGCCGGAACAACGCCAGCCGCCGGCGCAGCCGCATCGGTCATGCCGAGCGACGCGTAGCCAGCCTTTTCGTTGTCGGCCGTCGCCTCGAATGGCGGCGGCTGGGCCAGCGTGCCCTGCGAAGACTCCTCGTCCGAGCTGAGCTCGGTTGCGTCGTGGCCGCGCACCAGAGATGCGATGGCGGGCGCCGCGACAGCCGCAGGAACGGCGGTGCCAGCAGCGGCTGCTGCTGCTTCTTTGCTGCGCTTCGACTTCTTCCTCTGCGCTCTGCCATCGACACTGTCCGCAGGCACGGCCTCGACGACGGGATCGGCAACGCCGGATGCCGGGATGTTGGACAGAACGACGGCGTCGTCGTTGGCGCCGCCCAGCGGAGTGGCGCCGACCGGGGCCTCGCCCAGCGCGCGGCTCTTGGACTTCTTCTTCTTCGGCGTGGCCGCGTCTTGCGGGATCGCCGCGGTGTCTGCCAGAGCGGCCTCTTCATTGGGGGTGCGAGAGCCGACGGCCGCAGCGAGGCCTCCGATGCCGACACCCGCGGCGCCCACACCGGCGAGTGCGGCGGCGGCCTTCTTGCTCTTCTTGGACTTCTTCTTCTTCTTGGCGCCGGCCTCGCCCTCAACGTCCCGGTCGACCTCGGCCGAGTCGACAATGTAGGGCAGCTCGGATGCATCGCGATCGGCCGCACCTGTCAGGCTGCCGGAGCCGGTCGGAGCAATGTTGTTCGTCGACGAGACGAGGTCCTCGCCGCTCTTGACGCGCATCGGCGACTCGGACTGCTCCAGCTCGGCCAGAGGATCCGAAGTGGCCGCAAGGTCCCTGCTGATGACGGGGTGGGACGGCGACGCCGAATCCTTGATGACGCCGTTCTTGTCCTCGCGGAGAGCATCGAAGCCGATCATGGCGGCGAGGCCGCCCAGAGCGCCCCCGGCGGCGCTCTTGAGCGCCAGGTTGGAAGAGGAGCTGGCGGTACGGGGCCTCTTTGCGTTCTCCTGGTCAATCTCCTGGTCCCTGGCCGACTGCATCGAGGGACGGCCGCTCGGCACGACGGCATCCTGGTGGCTCAGCGGGCCGGACGCCGGCAGCAGGGGCGAGGGAGGCGGGATGGTGGATGCGCCGTCGGCATCCAGCACGCTCGGCTGGACGCTCTCGGCGAGCGACTTGGCCCTGCGCGCCGTCGGGCTGCTGCCGCTGACGACGTACGGGTTGATGAGCTCGGGCGAGCGCGCGTTCTCGGCCTCGCGCAGGGCGATGGGCGTGGCGATCCGAGGAGGCTGGTCGGACACCTCGTCGGGCGTCAGGGGACCGCTCTCTTCGTCGCTCTGGCCCAGCTCGTCCTCGCTGGCGATGGGAGATGGCCGCTCGACGGCCTGTTGTCGGACGGGACGCACCGCCGTCCCGCTCTCGCTGATAGTGTCGTCTGCGTCGAGCGCGCTGCCCCTGGCGCTGCCGCTGTTGCGGTGGAGAGCGGCGACGCCG